CGCTCGAGCGTATGTCTGCGTCTCTTTCTGACCTGAAGGTTGTGTTTCTTCGCTTGAGCGAGCTTTCCTTCGCTCAAGCGAACAAGCTCTATGTTTTGTGTTTCTTCGCTCGAGCGAGGACTCCTGCACTCGAGCGTGCATCTGGGTTGCAGACTTGAAGCTTTGCATTGTTCGCTCAAGCGACGCTTCTTGCACTCGAGCGAGGTTCTTTTGTGTCTGGTCGCTCGAGCGACCACTTCTTCGCTCGAGCAAGCCTCGACTATACCAGTTCGCAACAGCGACTTTCTTCTTGACTTTTTGATCTCTTTTTACCTTCAAACCCTAGATCCGACTCTCTCTCTATACACTCATTCTCTCTACACATGCACTTGATCTAGGGGGTTTCTACCCTACTCCCTTTATTAAAAAGCTAGAGTAGTGTGTGGGCTATCTTTTGATCCCAAAAAAGTTGGATTTGAAGCACTTTGAGTTTCTTCCTTCTTCTCCTTTGAGCTCCGAAATTTGAGGTATGGATAAACTACTCCTTCTTATGAGTTTTAACATAAATTTTAGTCATTTTGTATAAATGGTAAGTCATGGACATTTTGGGGAGTTAGGGTTTTGAAATTGAAATTATAAATGAGGGATTTGTTAATGCGGAGTTCCATGTGTATATGAGACCTAGAAAAAAAATGGGGTTATTGGTGTAGGATTGATAAAATTGAGCCTTAGGGTTGAGGTTTGAAAAAAGGGGGAAAACGTCCTAATTAAGTTTGAATAATTAATTTGTATAATTAATGTGGTAAATTGTGGGAATATGAAATTGATTTGGAAATTATGAAATTAGATGGAATTGTGGTTGAATGGTGTAGTTGGATCGATGAATCACTCACCGATAGAAAATGAGATAAATTATCTATTTGATAGATTTATTTATCTGTTTAGAAATAACTGTTTTGGGCTATCGGTGGAGGATAGTCTTAATTGTTGTAGACACTGCATGATGATTAGGTAAACTAAAACTAATCAACTGGATTATGTCATTGATTGTGACGGTGGAATTAACACATTGATTATGTGAATTGTTGGGTCATTGTAGATGACTATGTATTTAAATACATTGTATATGTATATTGTTTGGGAGGAGATAACGGATGTACTCCATTGTTTGGAATGAGATAGGAGATGTACTGCATTGTTTAGGAGGAGAAAGGGGATAGACTCCATTGACAATTAAGTTGGTCGAAGTGTCCAAGGTGAAAGTCTCGAAACCTTATGTACATCTGAATAATGTTAATAATTGAAGTGTTGAATATATGAAGTGTTGATTATATGAGTTGTAGTCTCATTTTGAATTGTTGATAATTGAAGTGTCAAAAATATGAGTTGTGGTCTCATTGTGAATTGTGGATAATGGAAGTGGTAGTAAGATGAGTTGTAGTCTCATTTAAATTGTTTGGCTAGATAATGGACCATGTCTATGAATTGAATTGGATAAATAAGGGAAGTGGATTGGAACATGAATGTGCTTATTGGTGGCCTAGTAAAGAAGGTAAATTGGTTTATAAGTGTTAACCATCCATCGAATGCTAATGTTTTAGTTACTTCTCATATCTGGTTTAACATATTTCTACTGGGCTTTGGCTCACCCTATATGGGACATCATTTTCAGGTACAGGTGATATGCCGCCTCCAAGGATGTAGCTTGGGAGGCTTCGAATATCTTTTGTATTACATGTAATTCAAGCTAAGGGCCTAATATGTTAAGAGTTAGAACTCTCTGTTGTTGAAACCAAGTATTGACTTGGAAAGTTTGTAAGCCAACATGTAATACCTTTTGTAGAAAGCACTCTGATGAATGAATATATTTTATTTTCTCATGCCTATGGTTATCATGAATGGTTGATTTATATATATTTTTTTGAGGGCGTTACAAAGCGAATCTTGGGACCGATCAGCGGTAGCAAGGTTGGAAGAGGTCTGCGAAGCCAACGTTGTTACCGTAGTTCTTTTGCGCTTTTGAGCAGCAGCAATCTCCAAGAAGTTTTTCGGCATCATGGTATCGAATATAGTGGCTTCCGAACTAGACGACTCCCCTTAGGATTCTTCCTCAACAACTTCTTCAACATCCTCCCGTAAATAAGGAAGGATGTAAAAGTTGAAACCACCGTCAGCACCAAGATTTATGCCATATGTGGCTGTTACAGTCCCGTAATGAGGAACGTATGCAAGCAAGACATGAGCCACCTGACCTTGCCCTTGTTGCTCTGGTGGTCCTCTATACGACCAAGCTCGGCGCAAGAGAGGGAGGTTTACTTGATCTTCCCACTCGCTGGAATGAGAAAAGACTTCGAGAGCTGTGACAAATGAACACAATTATTAGTAAAGCTAGAAAACAAAACAAATGCAAAGACAAAGCAAACAAAGGTGACTCATAACCTGGACGGCCAATGACCCTAGGAATAGGTCGGATCCGATCAACTCCAGAAGGAAATTCCTAATTCCCCTCTATTATGACAAACACATCATTCACACCCTTACCAGAATTAAGAAGCATTTGAACGAGTTGGTGTTTCACCGACCTGGGTTTAAAGTATAACTTTGTTCTCTCTTTGGTAGTAGGAACAACATTATAGCAATTCCTAATCTCAGACAGACCTAAATTGATTCCAAGAATGTCATTTAGGGCCACTACACCCATCACTATCCTAAAAAAAATTGGGGGATAGTTGGGAAGGGCACCCCATAAAAGTGAAGCACCTCTCGAAGGAAAGGATGCAGAGGAAATTTAAGTCCTCTCTCTATTATATCTATCAAATGAAGAGGAATTTGTTCTTCAGAACCCTCTAACAAACTGTCATCGAAGGTAGGAAGGTGAACAATGACATCCTCAGGAACACTATATAACGCCCTGAATTCAGTAAAACTCTCTTCAAATTCGAAGAATGACCTCAATCGATTCATTTTAGTCAAACAAAAGCTAACAGAATTGAGAAATCACAAGAGAAAAGGGATAAACTTACAAAGAACTTCCGCTAAAAGGCAAAGACACGAGTATAAGAGCAAAAGGCGTAATGCGATAAGCAATGACAAAAGAAGGGAGGCCAAAACCTTCGATTAAATATGTCCAAAGTGAAACGGGGCATTAAAGAAGAAATAACGGGCGTCATTATTTAAAAAAAGGATACTCAACAGACGCGTGTCACATACAGCGTTGTTTTCCTAAGGACCTACGACAGTCGGCTAGGGCACCTTCGGCAATTCGATTACAATGAAATGCCGAAGAGGGCCAATTGTGGAGGATAAAAATTTAAGCCTAAGGCCCAAGCAAGTTAAGACGCGGCCCCAAAGCATTTTTACCTAGCCAAGGAAAAGTCTAGGCCCAAGCCCTTAGAAAGTACAGTTGTAAAGCAAACAAGGTCACATGATAGGCGATTTAGACAGAATCGCTTTCAGAAAAGAGATCCTTAAACATGAAGGAAAACCCTTGGATGAGATAGAAATCAACGATATAGATCAAAACTAACAAAAGAAAGGATACAAAATCGACCAACTGTGACAATTTGGGCATCCAATAAGATCAATCCAATGATCAGGAATGAGTGTGCAAAACCCGAACTGAATCTAGGCCATCTGTAACACCAGGCAGCCAACAAAGGCATATAAAAATCACTTGCCTACTTGCCCGACCAGTTTCTGCATACATAAAACACCATTGGATCGATACCATAATCCAACGGTCACGATACCAAGTATCCACACTATAAAAGGAGGAAGGAAAACCATTTAAAGGTAAGCAAAAAGAAAGAAATAGATACTTCTTTTCAGAAGAAAAACGACATGTCTAATCAAGGTTCTAATTTGATCGTCGGAGGGTCCTCCCGACCAACCTTAGTCGAGGGAATCACTGACGTTTTGGTATTTGTCTTTTTTGCAAAGTAAAAGAAGGAACGACTCATCTCACTTTTCCCATGGAGAAAATATTTTCCCCTTCCGCAGATATTGATACTGATTGAGCTCTTGTTGGGTTATTCAAATTTGTCTCCAAATTTATTTATTTTTTAATCAAATTATTTTGTTTCAAAATTATTATAAACATTTTCAAATTTTTTTTGCTAAATTTTGTTTCCTGACATTTTGGGACGACAACAACAATTGGTCTCTAAATATTTTTCATAACAAAATTTTTACTTTTTTTTACAAAAATTTGGTCCTTATAACTTTTATTTGTTATAGTAAATTTGATTTTCAAGTCAATCTCAAATGATTATAGTGTCTTGGATTTTTATAATGTAACCAAGTAAAATAATAATAATTTTGGTACCTAAAATTTTAAAAAGTTTTCAATTGTATTCAAGTTTGATTTGTTTAAATAACAAGCGATCTTGAATGCACTTTTAGCAAGTTCTAGTAACTTGATTCGTTTCCGCCTATATTCAAAATTTACCCAAAAAAGAATACTAATAAAAACATGTGAGCTAGTTATGTATATCTTTCTACGGCCTTCCATTCTTCATCTTGATTTCCTTTTCATCGTCAGCAAAAAAATTTCAGTTCTAGTACCCTCTCCACACTTGTGACATTTCCTCAATGGGTATGTTGTTGGTCTCCGGCACAAAGAAGATGACGAAGGCTCATGATTAGCACTAAACCCGCAAAGATGATGAATAGGCCGAACCTGACCACGCAAAGAGCGGCAAGGAAGACTTGGGCAACGAGGAAAGTGAAACGGATCACATTCCAAAACCAACGGTTGAAGATCGCAAATGATGCATCTCCTTTCATGAAAGAGATGATTAATACTTCAAACCAATAAGCATTCCAACACAATCACCAAACACCGCTTGATTCATAATAAATATCTTTAAAGATGATAAGCAATTCGTTAGAAAGTACAATTTGGTGATTGAATTTAGCTAAATTCAACATAAGTTCCTAATCTTTCAACCAAACACAACAATCTCACAAACCAACTCAAAGAGAACAATCTCAGAAAAATTAACAATGTTCTAAACCTTCAATTTCATAGTGTTATTAGTAAATGGGATACAAAGATATGTGATTGAGTTGTGACTTATTACACTACACTATCAAAAAACAATTTCAGATTTTCCACTAATACAAAAATTAAGACGCTACTATGCCATAGAACTCATGACAGTACCAAACAAATGTTCTAGAACAGCATAAACTCAAAGCTATAATAGTAATAAAAAGGGTAAATTAAAAACACATATTGTGCATTAAAACTTCCTCTCATATACTAAAAAATAAAATAAAAATAAAAATAAAAAAACTGCTCAGAAGCCATTCCCACATTGATTTGCGTTCTTTGTGTTCTTTAAGCCACGGCAGGCATGTCCTTGAGCCATTGGTCCAATGGCTTACCAATGGAGTAAACAATGAAACCAATCTTCCTCAGCTTCTCAACATCCACAATATTCCGACCATCAAATAGAAAAGCGGGTTTCTGCATATTATCGTAAATCCTCTGGTAATCAAGTGTTTTGAACTCATCCCACTCGGTCATAATTGCAACAGCATGAGCATCCTTGGTTGCCTCATAAGCATCCCAAACCACCTGGAGTGCCTTGACTGCAGTCGGACTCATAGGTTGAAGATGAGTCGGATGATCCCAATCAAACTTCTTCATTGAAAGATCCCTCTGTATCTGTTCTTCAGAAACCTGTGGGTCGTATATGCTCAACTTGGCTTTGTCCCCGATTAGCCCTTTACACACATCGATAGCCGGGGTCTCTCTCGTGTCACCAGTATCTTTCTTGAATGCAAATCCCAAAACAGCGACTTTCTTGCCTGAGACGGTGTTGAACATGGACGAAACGATCCTGTTCACAAATCGGGTCTTTTGATAGTCATTTACTTTAATGACTTGTTTCCAGTAATTTGCAACCTCGGGAAGGCCATTGCAGTCGCAAATATAAACCAAGTTCAAGATGTCCTTTTGGAAGCAAGATCCGCCAAAACCCACACTAGCATTGAGGAACTTGGGTCCAATTCTTGTGTCTTTACCGACAGCATGTGAAACTTGGGTGACATCAGCACCTGTTGCTTCACATAACGCTGACATGGCATTAACCGAAGAAATCCTCTGTGCCAAGAAAGCATTGGCTGCAAGCTTGGAGAGCTCAGCAGACCAGAGATTAGTGCAAATAATCCTATCTTCCGGGACCCAATGGGCATAAACGTCTTTCAATGCTTTGACTGCCTTCGCTCCTTCTGGGGTCTCCCGGCCTCCAATGAGGACACGGTCAGGCTTGAAAAGGTCTTCTATTGCGGTTCCTTCGGCAAGGAACTCTGGGTTGGACAGAATTTGAAAATTGATGCCTTTGCTGTTATGGGTCAGAATTTTTTCTATTGCCTCGGCAGTTTTAACAGGAACTGTTGATTTCTCAACAACAATTTTGTCAGATTTCGATACATCAGCAATCATACGGGCAGCACTCTCCCAATAGGTCAGATCAGCAGCTTTTCCGGCCCCAAGGCCTTGGGTTTTGGTCGGAGTATTAACTGAAACAAAGACAATATCTGCCTCTGAAACATGTTTCTCCACTTCAGTACTAAAAAAGAGGTTCTTCCCTTTGCATTGCTTCACTACATCATCAAGGCCTGGCTCGTAAATGGGGAGATGATCACTGTTCCAAGCATTGATCCTCTGTACAGAGATGTCAACAACGACCACTTGGACTGATGGGCACTTCAGTGCAATCACGGCCATGGTTGGCCCCCCAACATAACCAGCTCCAATACAACAAATCTTCACCATTTTTTATTTATTCTCAACTGTCAAAACAATAAAATAAAATAAAAAAGTCGAAAATAAGTGACGGACCAGAACAGTAAAATGCTTCTTATGCCAATAGAAATTATTAAATTTGAAGTGCTGACTCTTCGATATGCAAAATCTTAACGTGATCAAACATGGGGTATTTGTCCAATTTAATCCAAATCCTTGATCAACTTAATACATGACAAGTATGGAAGTCAAAATTCTTCTTATCAACACATGATGCCTACTCATTTGAACTAATGAAATACCCTTATTTCACTAATGGTGGATTGAAGAAAAAATGATTCCTCAGAAAAACTTATTACACAAGGTGTAGTTTCATCCTACATAAGGATAGGGCTTCCAAATAGAACCAATAGGAGAAAACGATCCATAGAAGGTGCTCAAGATAATTAGGAGCAAGTCTCAGATGAGTTTAGTAGTAGTTTGATCCTACCCTAAGAAGTATGGACACGGACATGCCAACACAGGAATGTTTAAGAAATGTAGGACACGACAAGTGACACGTGTGAAATGTATGGAGATAAATAACTATTCTATGTTATATTATATGAATATTTAAATAAAAGATAATAATTTTAAAGTCAAAAGAAGGAGAATATGTATAAGTTTTCATTTTTGTTTTACATTGAATTCCTAGTTATTTTATTCAAACTTGTAAAGTGTTTCACATATGTCTTAGTGTTGGGAAGTATCCGATGAGTGTGATGTCATGTTGGTGTCTAACATGTCAGACACGGCAGGTTACCTTCTTAAAAGTGTCTGTGCTTGTGAGATCTTACCTCACATATAATATATATATAGAGAGAGAGATATGACACACACATCATAAACGCTTTCCTTGTGGTCAAAAGGAAAATCCGTCAATTTCAAAGAAGCAAATACCAGTGTATGTAAGCAATCTGAAATAAATAAACAAAATATAGGTTCAAAGAATTGGATTTTGGTTCAATTTTACAAGAAATGTGAAAGCAAATCCAATAGAACCCCAATTAATAATGTGGATTGCTCCATTTATTTCCAGAGACTACTTGATCAAACACTTCCAATTCAACAAAGTGATCCCAAATTTTCACAAAAAGAAAAGAAAAACCCAATTGAAAAACACAGTTGGATGTAACACAAATTGCAATAACATCAACAGAACTGCAATTCCCACACCATACACACACACACACACACACACACACGAGTATTGAACAGAGTTAATTAAAAGCAGACCTCAAAATATACAGCATACAAGAAGAATTAAAAAACAATCCACCCAAAAAAAACCCAACAAATATATAAATGAACAAGAAAAAGTAGATGAGAGATTAGGAATACCTTTCGGAAAATTATATGAGATCCAACCAGTGAAATGGCCTGAGAGATAAATAGATAGAAAGAGGGTGGATCTGAGGAGAAAAGAAGAAGAGGGTCTTCTGGCGAAGTGTATGGGGATCCACAGGATAATCGGTGTATGAAAGTGTGTGTAAGGTATATATATAGAGACTGGACTTGGAAGAGAGAGAGAGAGAGAGAGAGATTTTTCCATGGACATTCCAATCGTACAGGTTAAAACTGCCATAACTAACTGAGCATGAAATCGAAACCATTAATTAATTATGAAAAAGAAATGGTTTGGATGATTAAATTTATTTATTATTTGATGTGATATAGAACATTGTAATCATAACAGTGAACAAGTTTCATAAAAAAAAAAATTAAGAGAAAAAAAATCAAGATTTCACCTTTGCAACAAAATAAATTTTAAATTTTGCTAATTTAAATTTTAATCTTTTGATTTATTTTTAATTCAAACCATCAATCAATTTTTATTAAATAAAATCAACCGAAAAAATAGTATTTAAGTCATTAAAGTTAATAAAAAAATATTTTAGACATTTTAGGTATATTACATTGAATTTAATGGCTAAAAAAAATTTATATCGATTTTAGTAATGAAAATAAGTAAATGATTAAGTTGAAAATAAATTTAAAAAAATTAGGATTTAAATTGATAAAATAAAAAATTAAGAATTAATTTTGTTACAATGATCAAGCCCTAATATTTTTTTATTTTTTATTTTTGTAATTTTCCCTTTAAAAAAAATTGTCATTGCAAGATTACTACTGTCTGAAAACTTCATTTTTATGATTAAAAAAAGTCAAAAGTAAAAAAAAAAAAATCACTAAAATAAATTAAATATATCAATAATTCAGGTTTTTCGATACAATTAAAAAAATCATTATTAAACAGATTATTTTTTTCACTTCATAAAAAAATGCCGATTCTCAAACAAGCAAAAGATTGATAAGTATTAACTTAAACAAAGTTTTGGTATACTGATATCAAATCAAGTTATTGATGTTTTTAGACATTTCACTAAACATACATACATTATAAAAAAAAAATTAGTGAAACATTCATTTTCAACTTTGTGTAGTAGGAAAAGTCTGAGATATTTATTTTTTATTAATTAAGGTCGCTCAACATTCTTACAACAAAAATTCAACTCAAAAATTTTTTGCCTAACTTATTCAAATTTCACTTGATTCAGAGAAATTTCGACCCTAACTGAAAGAAAATTTAAAATTTCTCCAGTATGATCACAAAGAAATTTCAAAATTTTTCTGTGTAATTAGAGAAATTTCTCTGTGAAAATTGAAATTTCTTTGTGAAAATTGAAATTTCTCTGAGTCGGGACAAATTTTTTTTGAGTTGGGCAAAATTTTTCTGAGTCAAATTTTCTCTATAGAAATGTTGAGGGACCTTAACTATTATAAAAATATTATATGTTTATTTTCTTATAAAATCTTAATATCAGGGACTTAAAAAAAAATCTCGTACATTATATAGTATCATTTACCACCCCCACCCCCCCCCCAAAAAAAAAAAAAAAAAAAAAAAAAAAATCTCCAATACATGAGAAGAGCTTGAATCCAACACAAGAAAAGAATTCTAAAAGAGACTGAAATATCACTCATAAAAGTTGTCTTCTAAGAATTACAAAGAGAACTTCCAATCTGTGTAAGGAATAACTGCTGTAATTCGACATGAAAATAACAGAAAGAAAACAAAAATAATAAAAAAATTAACAACTTTGATCAAAGCCAGACAACCCAAATTATTACTAAACCAAAACTTTCTAAAAAGGTCAAATTAGCCATTCTGCGTCATCAATGATAGGCGAAATTGTGTTCCAGAGACTATCAAATCTGACAGCAATTTCGATACCTTTGCCCAAAATTCCGATACCTTGACGACATTTTACTGGGCTTCTCTCAATCCCACAATTCTGGATTCGCCTCTCCTACGTCATATTGTGCGATTATCTCACGCGTAACTTTGAATCGAATCTTGCATACTACACATCCCCTCATCTGAAAGGAAAAGTTCAAGCAAATTAACGACATGTTAGACTGCTTTTATTTTGAAACAGTAATGCTACAAATAGAGGAATGGAGCCAGGATTTTATTTTGGGAGGGAAAAAAATTCATGTAAATAAATATTTAAACAAATAACATAAACTATATGTACATTTTTCATATACCTTATTTTGCATTGCATTCAAATATATTGGACAAAAGATAATAAATAGAAACAAACATCCCTAAAGGCAAAACGAAAGGAACAATTTTTAAATATATAACGACTTAGTTATCTATCTGTGGTACTGAACATTCTTTTTTATCTCAGAACTCATCTAGGACTCAAATTCTTACATTTTTTTTTTTGCACAATCGAGGAGTTGGTTAGAAATAAGCTTAAAAAAGGTCTCACCAAGTCATTGCAAAGTTAATAATAATAGAGCATGGACCCTATCCAAGATAAATGTATTGTTAATGCAATTTTTTGGAAAAAGTTTCTTCCTATACTAACTGATTTTGATAAGAAATAAACCAGCTTTTGATCACAACATTTCATGGATATAAGTTGTGCCAAGCTATAGGTTGTTTTTAACCTTATGAATTGGAATTATGCTGGGATGAACACTATATTCATGCATCAACCAACCAGTCCTTGACTCTGTTGGACCATTCCCTTTGTCGAAGACGAAAAATTTCTTCAACCCAACAATTTTTCCTTCATGGATGACCTCATCAACCTCCCTGGTTGCTTTCCATTGACCGGTTGGTGTAGTTTGTACTTGTTGCTGCATCCCATCCCAGTTTTTTTTGTTCCAAAAATGTATAGTAATACGCCTTCTTCTTTTTTCCATATTTGAAATCACCTGGAGGTATAGAAAAGAAACGAAAAAATTACCGTATTATACAAAGGAAAATTAAAGCAACTGAGGACATGGAACAGAGTTTCTGAGAAACAGCTATTAATGAAGATCATAATGTTATGGTATATAGGATTTTTGAAGATCTGATTTTAGTTATGGCACATAAACTTGAATGATCCAATTCATGATTACTTTGGAAAGTAGGAACGCCATTGACACTATTGACTCGATTTAGGATTTTGCCTGAGGGAGGCAATATTAAGGAAGAATGGTGTCCCCTCCCGTCCTGCTTTGGACATACTTCCAACCTATAAAAAAAATAGCAACATAAGCAGCAATTGTTTGCTGGGAACCTTCTCGTGTCATGCACGACCGTGAAAAATAAGATTATTACCCACCATGTCTAGTATGAACATGAAAAATAGAATTACTAGCCCATGCAAGAAATTTTTAAGGAGGAATGGGTGTCACTTCCAATCTATGAAAAATAGCAACATTTAACATATTAAGTTCTCATGTCTGGTATGAGCATGAAAAATATAATTATTAGCCAATGCAAGAGATTTTCACACCAACCCAGATCTTGATTTTGGACCTCATCCCTCAAATAAGATTATTAGCCACACCAACCTAGATCTTGGACCTTATAGAAACACATCAAGAAAAACAAGTACTGAGGCAATTTATCAAACAACTAAATTGCACATTCTGCATATTAAAAATAAATAAATAAATAATACCAAGAAGATTGAACTCATAAGCAATCACAAATTTATTGGGTTTTACAATAAATCTATTTCCTCAATTAATTCAAATCCTGTTGGTGATAATTACAAATAAAACACCAGAAAATACAAATTACAATAATTATTGTAAGGGTTGAAGCGCGGGGAATTCGCTCCCTTTAAGGAGATTCAAGTCCTCTGCGGTTAGGCAAAATCTCACACCGATGCAGCAGAAAAAATCTTAACTTGTCCACCAAGATACAACAGCCCGACTAAGTCGTATAGTTCACCAATACTGCACAATTAGTTAAACCAAAGCTTAATCACATACACGCAATTTTATTTGCCTGATAATCTTACACAAACATAATAAAACAACAACCACTCATTCTGTTTTTTAAGATAAGAAGTTAGGTCAATTTATAGGAGAGGAAACTTGGTCAGCAAGTGTCTTGGAGAAGAGAAAACTTACAGGACAAGATTCTTGGAGGTGAAGAAGACTTGACTTGGAGGGCAAGACTTGGAAGACTTAGACAAGAGGACTTGACTTAGGGATTTTTGGAAAAAAAGTATAGAAAGTTGCTTGGAAGATTCTTGATCACCAAGAAAAATGATTAACTTGGAAGAAAAAAATAAATCAAACTAATAACACATTATAATATTAAAATATCTCCTACCAAATCCTAATAACACCAACTATAGCAACACGACACAACAGTGAATTGCAACAATTGAAATTTAATGGAAAATTATAGCGCAGATTTTACCCATAAAAAAAGGGGCAAATGTCGCTTTGAATTCTAACCCAAAATCCTAGTGGTTAAGAGCAATCAATTAAAGAGAAATTTTTATTAAAAAAAAAAAGTAAAACAAGAAAGAAAGATTGACAGAACTCACGGGTGGGAAGCTGATCGGGATCAAAGAGGAACAAATTGTGAAGAAGTTTGATGAGGTTGAGGGGTTGTTTTCGGGCGAAAATCTTATTCATGAGATAATACACAACCAACTGTTTCTTCGACGGACTAAAATGGACACCCCGAGGAAAGTTCGCCACTTTTTCTTTACCGTCTTCATTCTCTCTCTGTTCTTCATCAATTGAAGCTAATGAACTTGCGAAACCCATCTTGCTTCTTCACTTCCAATGCTTGGCCACACCACCCCTCTCCCTCTCTCTCTCTGTCTCTGTGCAAAGCATTTTATTTATTTATTATTATTATTTTTTGAGTGAATTGATGATAAATTCAATATAAAGATGAGACATAAGTCATTAATCTAGTGATATTTTTTTTTATTAATGAGAGATTTACCTCTGTGAAATAATTTAATATTTTTTTTTTGTTCTAAAATAAATATTTTGTTTTTAATTTTATTCTTTAATTTATGTGTTAATTTTTTTTATTTGTTTAATTTTTCATTGACTATTTGTTCAAATTATTTTCTATTTGTTTAAATTTATATCTATTTGTTCAAATTTTGTCTATCTATACAAATATCTTTTTATCTGTTAAATTTTTTTAACCTATATGTAGGAGTGTA